TAAGATTAGATACAATCCAATTCTCAAAGGTAATAGATTCAGCCTCCCTTTGCCATTGATCATTTCTAATAATCTTCCAAATGTTCCGAGCATAAGTACAATCCCAGAAGAGATGTAAGAGGTCTTAACAGTGCAGATTGCAACAGGAACAAAACACATTTTCTGTGAGTCTTCTAATAGCTTGCATTTGATTTGTAAGCAGTTTATTTTGCAAAATGAGCCAGAAGAATCCCTTAAGCTTTTGGGGCAGCTTGAGTTTCCAGATCCATTTCCAACTACCATTAGGGTACCCAACCTCGGTGATTAAATCATAGGCTGATTTAGAAGTGAAAATACCAGTGGATGTACCTATCTAGCAAGGTTTATCAGGTAAGTTAGTGAGTCTAGGTGGGTACACACTTTGAATTCTGGTAATAACCTGTGGGGTTAAAAAAATTTCAATACTATCAAGGTTCCAAATCAAGCTGGTAGCTAAAATAGAATTGACAGTTGTGTCGTCACAGTGATTTCCTGGTGAAGTGTCTTCCAGAGGCTAATTGCCACACCACCAATCTTTCCAAAGTGACACTGTAGCTCCATCTCCAATGGTCCACTTAGTACCTTTTCTAAGAACATCTTTAGAATAAACAATACTTCTCCAAATATGTGACCTACTCCACTGGGTAGGCCAAGTGAACAAGTTGTCATTCTGAAGATACTTACTTTTAAGGATGACAGTCCAAAGAGTATCCTTCCTATATAAAGGGTTCCACCCGAGTTTGGAAAGAAGAGGCAGATTTTGATTTTTGGCCTTACGGATACGCAAGCCCCCTTTGTCTTTAGGTTTGCAAACTGGTTCCCAGTTAACAAGATGAACTTTCTTAACATTACCTTGATCGCCCCACAGAAAATTTCTATTAATTTTATCAATATCTGCACAAATGTTATTAGGAAGTTTAGCTGTGGACATCACATAAGAAGACATGGCTGAAGTGACAGACTGAATGAGGATGGCTTGACCCGCCATGGATTGGACACTAGCTTTCTAGCCAGAGAGTTTCTTGTGCAATTTCTCAATGATAAATTGGAAATAATTTCTGCTAGCTCTGCCATGGAGAATTGGTGTGCCAAGATAATGGCCAAGGTTTTGAGTAAGGGGAAACCACTAATATTGCTGAGTTCTCTAGCTTTGGTTCTAGACACATTTTGGAAGACAATTTTTTAACTTATTGGGATTTATTTTCTGACCAGAGAGGTCACAGAATTCATGAAGAACATCCAAAATCACCCCACAACTAGTGGTATCAGCTTTGGCAAAAAGAAGGAGATCATCTGCGAAGAATAGATGTGAAATGGGAAGACAGTTCCGAAAAGCTTTGACACCTTTCCAATCACCACTATTTACCTTGCTATTGATCATGCAAGATAGTTTTTCTATGCAGAGAATAAATATATAGGGGAGAGTGGGTCTCCTTGGCTAAGGCTAGTATTTACAAGTTCGGCCTTTTATTTGTGGCTTTATCGTTTTTGGGGCCACAATGTCTGGGTTTGGGCAAGTTTCTTTTTATTCAAAGTTACATTTTGGTCCTCACTTGGGGGAGACTAATTGTCCTTTGGGCCCATATGAGTTTCACTCTGGGCCAAGGTTCACTTTTTATTTAAGCCCGCCTTGTTTTGAATATGGCTTTTTTTTTTTTTTTTAATTTTTCTTATTATGAAAAGAAATGTAAAAAAGTAAAGAGACAATATGATAGATATAAACTAATAAGCAGCTTTTTTGAGATGCCCCCAGTTGTTCTAGTCTAATCCAATTTTTTAAATAGGATGCATAATTAAAAAAAATTGGTAAATTATAAATATACCCATGAAATTTACTTCAAATATGAATTACAACCTGCAATTTAAGAAATTACACACACCCTCTTATCAAAAAAATTTATCTAACAAAATTTGTAACTACTCTCCTATATAATAATAAAATTTCTTAAATTATTAATTAAATTATGTGATTATAAATTTGAAGGGGCGGGATGTAATTTCTAAAATTAAGAGACAATTTATATTTTAAACAAATCTCAAGTAGTATATTTATAATTTGTCTTTAAAAAAATTTGACAAATTGTGGATTAAATTGTAAATATTTTTAATTGTTAATACCCATACAAATTTTGTTTTCCTTCATAACCTTTAAATTGTATAGATCAAGACCATATGCAATCATTACCATAACTAAAAAAGATAGTGAAAATTAGTGAAATATCCCACTTTAACTTTGTGTAGGAGGGAAAATTGAAGATATTTTTTTTATTAGCTAAGGTCCTTGAATGAAATTTCTCTGTGTTGATGTCGAAATTTCATTGAGTTGAGCAAAAATTTTCTGAGTCGAATTTTCTCTATAAAAATATTGAAGGATCTTAATTACTATGAAAATATTATATGTCATTTATCTCATAAAATCTTAATATTAGAAATTTTAAATATAAAAAAAAAATTCTCAAAAAGATGCCCACTATAAAAAAAATATATAATCTTGTTACTTTATTGCAAGTGTCATATATCGATTAGCAACTTTTACGGGCATAGACAGCAAATTTGATTGAACAAAACACTGCCACAAGAAAAGGAACGAAAAAAAGGAGGAATTTTTGGGTGTGTGTCACGCTACAATAAGCAAGAAAAAACAAGAACTTGGATTTTTTTGAAACCTACATTTTTAGTGTTATATAGTGAATTTTAAAATATAATAACATATACGTACAGGTTGTGTGTATGAATCATTTTTTTTTTTTAGATTGATAGAAGGTACAATTAAGCAACATTAAACAAAGAAATCAGAAATCTGAGATTAAATGTATTAGAAAAGGTGGAACTTCGTCCATCTAAATAGATTGATCTGTGACCAATAGTCATTTGAGCTAGAGAATGCGCCACCAAATTATCTTCACGCTTAATATGGTGGACCACTTGCGCTTCAAAATGCCCCAAATACTCACGTATGGACTTCACCGTATGCCTGAATGCAACAAAACAAGAAGCATCTGAATTAGTAGAAGATAGTGTCACGTAATACCCTATTAACACACAAAAATTTTCATGAAGAAGCAAGAAAAAACAAGAAGATATTTACAAATTTTGACATATTTAATAATTATTTTTTAATTGTGAATTATTTTAAATTTATTTCATTCAAAGTCTTTGAACTAGTGTTCTTTTAAAACACAACTTCAAATCAAAAACGTATTTCATTCAAATTGTTATCTGAACTAATATTCTATAAATCAATGTACAAAACATAAAATTATTGATAATAGAAAAACCATAATCGAATCCACTGCATCACCACAAATGAAATTGAAATATTAATAACAAGAACAATTATTGTAAAATAGCCACCTTAACATATTCAGTATTACTATATATCCAGACTTACCTAGAATTATCATTTTACTAATATTCTATAAATCAATGTACAAAACATAAAATTATTGATAATAGAAAAACCATAATCGAATCCACTGCATCACCACAAATGAAATTGAAATATTAATAACAAGAACAATTATTGTAAAATAGCCACCTTAACATATTCAGTATTACTATGGGTATGTTTGGTTTGTGTTTGAGAGATGTGTTTTAGAGATAAAAAGTACGAAAAGTTGTTTGGTTTGGTTTTTTTCAAAAGATGTTTTGGAAAATTATTTTGAGAGAGAGTTTTGGAAAAAGTGATTGATTTGATGTGTGTGAGAGAGAGATTTGTTTGGAAAATTTGTGTGAGAGAGAGATTGATTCCAGACTTACCTAGAATTATCATTTTATAATTTAAATTTACTTTCGATATGGTCTTCACACTATATAAATTTAGTAGTTGTTTGGGATGTTTTAAATAAATGTACTTTTTAACTTTTTGGTTAAAAAAGTATTAAAAAAAATGTATGTTTGGAATAACTTTTTGACTTTTTACAGAAAAATATATAATAAAATATTGTAGATGCAAAGTACATTGACCTACAGCATTGTGCCGGGGTATGCATTTCAATTTTTTTTTTTTAATGGGAATTGGTGGCTTGCATTGTGCCACGTAGTATGGACTCTACACTGTTGGACTGACTAATTCAAAGCGGTTCCGATTCGTAGCTCGAGTGGCTCAAAATCCCAAAACGACGTCGTTTTAGGATGTTTTTTAATTCTCTTACCGGTAAGATAATATTTTTCGTACCATTCGCGCCATTCGAGCCTCACTTTCTCGAGCTAAGGAGCATTTTCCAATTCAAAGGGAAAAATTATGATTTTGTCCTCTGACTTTTCCACACACTTCTCCTAAATAATATGGATTTTTTAACTTTTTAAATGATTTTTTAACTTTTTAACTATTATAATGTATCTCAAACCATCCTGAAGGGAAATTATATTGTACATATGAACCTTTAATTTGATTTGATAAATCTAGATTTCCAAACTTATTCTAACACATTACCTAACAACTCCAATGTGAATAAAAGCTAGCAAGTACAAACAACTAGTAGTTTTTATTTCAAAAATGATGAGCTTCCAAATAAATTACCAAAATTTCTATTCAATAATCACTTACGCCCTTCCCCCGGGCTACTTATCCCGCATGATTAGTCCTGACTTTCCGAAAAACTAGAGGGTTAGGGATACCTGCATTATCAAAAAAAATAATCACTTACACCCATATCACATGAGTATGGTGTAAAATTTTTGATACTAGTAATTGTTTTGGTCCTAATAATGCATCTGGCTCAAGTCCACTTTCTTATTTCATTTTCTCACTTCAAAAAATCTACATAAAAAATAAGATGAAAATTGGATTATGTGTAATCATTTTCTTCCTCAACGGCACAAGTTTTTTTTCTTTTTCTTTTTTAAATCACCAAAAGAAAGTTTTATTGATAATGAACCAAATACAAAAAAAAACTTATATCAATAAAATAAGACAGTGCAATGACATCATAACTAAACTCTACAATCCCAACACAGTTGGTACGAGAGAACTAGGACAATCATATTCTAGCATCAACCGCACAAGCTTTGAGATCATCAATCAAAGCAGTCAGATCACAGTAAGAACAGCCACCTTCTTCGGTGGCTCGCTTAGCCTTAATACCAATCTCCTCCGCACGCCTCCTCATCTCCACAGCCTCCGGTGAACCACCCATGTGAAAAGTTATAGCCTTGGTAAACTCATCCTTTCCCACCAAAGGGCTCTTGATTTCTATCCCAGAATTCCACACCCTCGGCCCAATTTCGACTCCAATCTTGAGTACCTGAGTCAATAGCTTCGAATTGTAGAAATGTTCGGCGAACAAAGGCCACGAGATCAATGGCAAACCGGCGGTGAATCCCTCGATGAGAGAATTCCAACCGCTGTGGCTCAGGAATCCTCCCACAGCTTGATGATCCAATATCTGCACCTGTGGTGCCCAACCCATTATTATCAGACTCCTGTTATCTCTCAACATTCTTTCTTCATATCCTTCAGGTAACCAACTTTCTTTTTGATTTTCCTCACTTTTCTCTTTCCTTCTCACCACCCAAACAAAAGGGTGCCCAGAAGCTTCGAAAGCTAACGCCATCTGGGTGAGTTGAGCGTCGGAGAATTGTGCCATGCTACCGAAACAAACGTAGAGGACTGAGTTGGGCTTTTGAGTGTCGAGCCAACTCAAACAACTGTGTTTCTCTTCAGTACTGGAGTTGTTTTCTTTGCCAACATTGTTTCTGTCGGCAAAGAGAGATAGAGGGCCCAAGTTCCAACATTTTCTCCCGGACACCTTCTTGAAGTGATCCGAATAAGCAGGCTCGATATCATGGCAAGTGTTGAGAATGATACCGTAGCTGCGACTCTCTGTTTGTTTGATTAAGTTAATCAAAACTCCGTACATGGTTTTGGCCTTGACATGGTCCTGTAATTCAGACCTCGCCATGCGAATCTCATCGGGAAGACCCGGAATCAAGAAATCCTCCGAGTCAGACTGTATCTCCTGGTGAGGAGCATAAAGTCTCAAGCTATGCGAAACGGAGTGAAAGAAATTATTGGAAGGGTAGAAGATGACCCTGGGAACTTGAAGCTCGTCAGCGAGGTCGACACTCCAAGGAAAGAACATGTCGGAGATGATGCAGTCAGGCCGACTATCGCGAATGAACTTTTCGTACGGTTTCTGCAGCAATGCGACAGCGTTGTAGAGTTTTTCCAAAAGTTCTGGGGTAGTACACTGGCCGAAGTTTTCGATACCTTCAGGAAGGCCGACTTGGGCCGAGGGTAATTTGATAATGTGAATCAACATATTGTGGCCCAAGGCGGCGTCGTGGTTGACGGAGTCTCGGAAGAGAAGGGCATTGTTTGGGGTGGTGACGATGGTGACGGTGACGCCGCGGCCAGCGAATAGCCGGGCAACGTCAACAATTGGGATGATATGGCTTGGAGCGAAATGTGGGAGGAATATGGCATTGAGCTTACGATCTTCCATTGCCACTGAGCTTAGAAATATGTACGACAAAAGTATTTTAAAGAATTTGCCGAATAATGCAACTCAGTTGTAGGGGTGACAGATAATGATAGGCGTCTGGAGCAAGGATCCTCTAGAGTGATTTTTTTCTAAAGTTTCTTAGAGTGCAACATTGTGTGGTTGAGATTTACTGGCAAGTCACATCAATTTTTCTGATGTGACTTGCCAGTAAATCTCAATCACACAATATAACACTCTAGGAAACTTTAGAAAAATTTCACTCTAGTAGATCCTTGATAAGGCGTCTGAGGTTTAAGTAGAAAGTAACTCAATCTAGATCACCAATGCAATAACAAACATACTTATTGGACATGCTCAAGATTATTGACCCCACGTGTATTGTGCCACGCCATCCGCATTGGGTTCAAAAAGTTATTTAATTTTATAATGGAGATTAAGGGCTGATTTGGCAATTTATAAAAAAGTTAAAATATCAAAAAGTTACAAAAAAAAATTAAAAAAATAAAAAAAATTTATAAAGTTATAACTATTCATAAAAAAAAAAATAAATAAATTATTTTTTTACAAATTGTGAGACAACTCACTTTGACAAAATGCGTCTTTGCTTGACTTTGGTGAAGATAAATTACACAGGCGGATGCAAGCTTAAGGACTGTGTTGTTCGGCTCGTGAGGGCCATCACGGGTCCCGTTTTGATAATCTAAACCGTTCAATGTGTAGAACTCGTTGAGTACCATATGCTTATAAAAAAATCACGTAGGTCGGATATCGATAACTATATGATCAAATCAGTTTTGTATAAAAAAAATAAATAGTGTTATAGTTAACAGTTGAAAAAAAACTAATCCGATCAGATAGGTATTGATATCCGATCAATATGATTTTTTACAAACATATAATACTCGACGAGTTCTACACATTAACGATTTTGATTAGCAAGACGGGACTCATGGTGGGCCCCATGGGCCGAACAACACTGTCCAATTTATGCCCGAAAAAGAAAGAATCATCTCCTACCCTGTACTCTCCCACGTTGCCCCTTACGCATTCCGACCGTACGGCCTATTCCATCAAATTAATCCTTTTTATAACAAACTAATCCTTTTTAAATATTAGTTTTTTTTAAAAAAAACTAATCCTTTTTATCTTCAAAAGGATTAGAAATGACTCAATGTTGATTGCTTTCCTCTCCCAATCTTCTGTTCATGGTTCCTTTTGAAGATAAATTAAAAAAACTAACAAAAGATGATTCTCTCCCAATCTTAGTGATGGAATAGGTTGTACGGGAACTTAATGTTTAAGTTGAAAAATTAAAAAAACTAAAACATTAAAAAGATGATTCTCTCCCAATTTTAAACATTAAGTTCAACTTGAAGATAAATTAAAAAAAAATTAAACTCAAATATATGGGAATTGTATAACAAACTAACAAAAGATAAATATAAATCGCTAAAAAAATCATCATCTTTTTGCGATGTTTATATCCCAATCTTAATCTTTTTAATTTAAATATTTGCTACCTTTTATTTGAATTTGAATTTTACAGTTAAAAACTAAATAGTTATATATTAATTTTTGTATATGTTTTCATCTCTATTTTTTTTTATTCATATATAAATAGTTATCTTTTTATTTTCATTGAGGTACCCAATTAACTATAAATTTCAATAGTGAAGTAGATAAACCATAATCACAGAAAACATTTATCATATTAGTTTTCTAGGCATGTCACGATTAACAATACAATAAATAATAACTATGTGTCAATATTTTATCATAATTAATAACATAATGTGTCATAATTAAAAATATAATAAATAATAACTATTAATTTAAAAATTATAATTAAAGGTGCATATGTACCATATAATTTCCCTAACAGACTAAGGGGTTGTTTTCGTTGAAAAAAAAAAAAAACACTAAAGGGTTGTTTGGAGTGTCTTAAATATTTAAACTAATATTTAAATATTTGTTAAAAAAAACTAATCCTTTTAATCCTTTTTAAAAAAACTAATCCTTTTGTGATGTTTATATCTCAATCTTAATCTCCCAACTTAAACATTAAAAAAACTAACAAAAGATGATTCTCTCCCAATCTTAGTGATGGAATAGGTTGTACGGGAACTTAATGTTTAAGTTGAAAAATTAAAAAAACTAAAACATTAAAAAGATGATTCTCTCCCAATTTTAAACATTAAGTTCAACTTGAAGATAAATTAAAAAAAAATTAAACTCAAATATATGGGAATTGTATAACAAACTAACAAAAGATAAATATAAATCGCTAAAAAAATCATCATCTTTTTGCGATGTTTATATCCCAATCTTAATCTTTTTAATTTAAATATTTGCTACCTTTTATTTGAATTTGAATTTTACAGTTAAAAACTAAATAGTTATATATTAATTTTTGTATATGTTTTCATCTCTATTTTTTTTTATTCATATATAAATAGTTATCTTTTTATTTTCATTGAGGTACCCAATTAACTATAAATTTCAATAGTGAAGTAGATAAACCATAATCACAGAAAACATTTATCATATTAGTTTTCTAGGCATGTCACGATTAACAATACAATAAATAATAACTATGTGTCAATATTTTATCATAATTAATAACATAATGTGTCATAATTAAAAATATAATAAATAATAACTATTAATTTAAAAATTATAATTAAAGGTGCATATGTACCATATAATTTCCCTAACAGACTAAGGGGTTGTTTTCGTTGAAAAAAAAAAAAAACACTAAAGGGTTGTTTGGAGTGTCTTAAATATTTAAACTAATATTTAAATATTTGTTAAAAAAAACTAATCCTTTTAATCCTTTTTAAAAAAACTAATCCTTTTGTGATGTTTATATCTCAATCTTAATCTCCCAACTTAAACATTAAAAAAACTAACAAAAGATGATTCTCTCCCAATCTTAGTGATGGAATAGGTTGTACGGGAACTTAATGTTTAAGTTGAAAAATTAAAAAAACTAAAACATTAAAAAGATGATTCTCTCCCAATTTTAAACATTAAGTTCAACTTGAAGATAAATTAAAAAAAAATTAAACTCAAATATATGGGAATTGTATAACAAACTAACAAAAGATAAATATAAATCGCTAAAAAAATCATCATCTTTTTGCGATGTTTATATCCCAATCTTAATCTTTTTAATTTAAATATTTGCTACCTTTTATTTGAATTTGAATTTTACAGTTAAAAACTAAATAGTTATATATTAATTTTTGTATATGTTTTCATCTCTATTTTTTTTTATTCATATATAAATAGTTATCTTTTTATTTTCATTGAGGTACCCAATTAACTATAAATTTCAATAGTGAAGTAGATAAACCATAATCACAGAAAACATTTATCATATTAGTTTTCTAGGCATGTCACGATTAACAATACAATAAATAATAACTATGTGTCAATATTTTATCATAATTAATAACATAATGTGTCATAATTAAAAATATAATAAATAATAACTATTAATTTAAAAATTATAATTAAAGGTGCATATGTACCATATAATTTCCCTAACAGACTAAGGGGTTGTTTTCGTTGAAAAAAAAAAAAAACACTAAAGGGTTGTTTGGAGTGTCTTAAATATTTAAACTAATATTTAAATATTTGTTAAAAAAAACTAATCCTTTTAATCCTTTTTAAAAAAACTAATCCTTTTGTGATGTTTATATCTCAATCTTAATCTCCCAACTTAAACATTAAAAAAACTAACAAAAGATGATTCTCTCCCAATCTTAGTGATGGAATAGGTTGTACGGGAACTTAATGTTTAAGTTGAAAAATTAAAAAAACTAAAACATTAAAAAGATGATTCTCTCCCAATTTTAAACATTAAGTTCAACTTGAAGATAAATTAAAAAAAAATTAAACTCAAATATATGGGAATTGTATAACAAACTAACAAAAGATAAATATAAATCGCTAAAAAAATCATCATCTTTTTGCGATGTTTATATCCCAATCTTAATCTTTTTAATTTAAATATTTGCTACCTTTTATTTGAATTTGAATTTTACAGTTAAAAACTAAATAGTTATATATTAATTTTTGTATATGTTTTCATCTCTATTTTTTTTTATTCATATATAAATAGTTATCTTTTTATTTTCATTGAGGTACCCAATTAACTATAAATTTCAATAGTGAAGTAGATAAACCATAATCACAGAAAACATTTATCATATTAGTTTTCTAGGCATGTCACGATTAACAATACAATAAATAATAACTATGTGTCAATATTTTATCATAATTAATAACATAATGTGTCATAATTAAAAATATAATAAATAATAACTATTAATTTAAAAATTATAATTAAAGGTGCATATGTACCATATAATTTCCCTAACAGACTAAGGGGTTGTTTTCGTTGAAAAAAAAAAAAAACACTAAAGGGTTGTTTGGAGTGTCTTAAATATTTAAACTAATATTTAAATATTTGTTAAAAAAAACTAATCCTTTTAATCCTTTTTAAAAAAACTAATCCTTTTGTGATGTTTATATCTCAATCTTAATCTCCCAACTTAAACATTAAAAAAACTAACAAAAGATGATTCTCTCCCAATCTTAGTGATGGAATAGGTTGTACGGGAACTTAATGTTTAAGTTGAAAAATTAAAAAAACTAAAACATTAAAAAGATGATTCTCTCCCAATTTTAAACATTAAGTTCAACTTGAAGATAAATTAAAAAAAAATTAAACTCAAATATATGGGAATTGTATAACAAACTAACAAAAGATAAATATAAATCGCTAAAAAAATCATCATCTTTTTGCGATGTTTATATCCCAATCTTAATCTTTTTAATTTAAATATTTGCTACCTTTTATTTGAATTTGAATTTTACAGTTAAAAACTAAATAGTTATATATTAATTTTTGTATATGTTTTCATCTCTATTTTTTTTTATTCATATATAAATAGTTATCTTTTTATTTTCATTGAGGTACCCAATTAACTATA